ACTGTCTCCTGGTGCAAGTATAGGTTTTTCATTAGCACAATCAAGTGTTCTGGCATTCCCATTCTTCTTAGAGTTAGGCACAGTTTGTTATGATCCACACAGTCAAATGCCTTTGCATAATCAATGAAACAAAGATAGACATTCTTCTGGTACTCTGTGGTTTCCCCAGCACAGTGACAGCAGAGCCACAGCTGAGGTCAGAGTCCAGACAAGGACTGAGCACCCTCTGCAAACAGAGAATTCTGCCCAGCCCCCCGGAGGAGATACTGGATGCCCTCTGCAAACAGATATTTCCACCCAGCCTCCCACCCGAGGGGACACCATGTCTGAGCTTTGGTGTTAGTTTAAAGATTAAGCTTACCCATTGTTAGGTTGGCAGAACTTAAGTTTAAGGAAAGATAAAGTCTCCGGAGATTGAGCCTTTTTGAGGATGATTGGCTTAAACTAAATAAAAACCACAGAGAGACTAAGAAAGGAACTTTTCACAATGCCATGCTGTGAGAGGACCTCTCCCTTAGCATATCCCTAGTACCACGGCCCCGTCTAAATCCTGCCTGCACTTCTGGTAGTTCTTTGTTAACGTCCTGTTCCAGTTGTTTTTGCATAATCTTCAGCAAAATCTTGCTTGCACATGATATTAATGATATTGTTCGATAATTTCCACAGTCTGTGGGAACACCTTTCCTTGGAATGGGAACAAATATAGATCTCCTCCAGTCAGTTTGCCAGCTGGCTCTCCTCCAGATTTCTTGGCACAACTTAATGAGCACATCTAAGGCAGCATCTGTTAGTTGAAAGATGTCATTTGGTATAACATCAGTTCCTGGGGCCTTATTCTTAGCCAATTCTTTCAAAGCAGTCTGAACTTCTTTCATCACCACAGGCTCTTGCTCATATGTTGTTTCATTAAATTCTTCTGTGTCTGCCAATTCTTTTTGGTATAATGACTCTGTATACTCTTTTCATCTTCCTTTAATACTTGCAAGATCACTCAATATTCTGCCCAA